GATATCCTATGACATTGCTTTCCTGTCTTCTGCCTGGACAAACGACACCCACGCTGTAATCTTAAATCAGATTAGTAGAAACGCATACATAAAAGCTTCTTTTCATACTTATTATGTGAAGATGTGTTATTTTATTTTCACTAATACTTAATGAGAAGAGTTTTTATTTAATAATTCCAAGAAGCAAATTCTATTAATCTCCTTGCTGTTCCCAGAGCTTGGTGAGTTCTGAAGAAGTTTGCTGTACTCGAGCTTCCTAAAAGATAAAAAGTATAAAGATAAAAAGTATCATAAATATCATAAATATCATAAGTATCATAATAAATAAGTTACCAAAAAAAAAAAAAAAAGAGGGGGACAGAAAAAAATCCAGAAATGCTGAGCTTAGTCTGAGCTGGCTCAGACTCAAAGAAGCCAGTATTCCCAATGGCTGAGATTTCATTCCAGTAACTTCTGCAATCCCATCCTAGATTTGTTATATACTTGCAAGGATGATGGAAAAAAGTAAGTTATTAAATATAGGAGCACTTTTGCTAAAACGTATCTACGCAGATGTTAAAAGCTATTGAGCTGACACAGAATATATTTAAGAGCATGGTAGCATTAACCTTACATCAGTTAACTGCTGCCACATAACCTATTGTGTGAAACAGACAAAAAATGAGCTATATACTTTAGCAATTTGTTGATTACTCTTTCTTTTTCATTAAAGATGTACTCCTTTATTTCTTTTTGCTAATGACTATACATATAACTATCATTTACATTTTAAAATTTAGGTCTTAAGTGTTCAAAGTTCACAATGACAAGAAATATTTTTTGCCAGTGGTCCATCACAAAAATCTGGTGTCATCCTGTGGGGAGCTCAAGAAAGAGATCCAGGAAAACCTTAACAGAAGAATAACATAATCTCTCTTGTATTTTCAATAGATGTGAATTTCTTCAAAAGGAGGCGCTACTGCTGCTCTGAAGTAATTGACATCGATATTTGAGTGCAGTAAGTCAATTGCTACCAGAAATTTTATCAAAAATGTTTATTGTTAATGGTTTTGACTAACAAAAGTGTTAATCTGGGTGGGGTTGCTGAGGGAATTCAACTTATTTTTTCGGGAAAATGAAATACAGTCTATCCTTAAATACTTTATCCCTATCTATCTTCAGTGTAAATGGCATAATTCCTAAGTGTGCAAGGCAAATCTTGGCAAGTATAAGTACTAGCTAGCGTGATGCCGGCTGATGTATCCTCAAGAGGGCTTAGGATAAAAATAACATTATCTTAAAAGTGAGAGGAGGACCTACACTCTTATTACTAAAACCAGGCATGATTTATTTGCATTATACAAGGACAAGAGATTTTCTTGACTAAGGCCACATGTGTAAGAGTGTAGACAAGAGAAAATAAAAAGCATCCCTCTGTGCGCTTTCATATTTGGTTTGGGCAACATTTGGTTTGGGCACATTTATTACACATCCAACAGCGCTATCACTGACTAAGGGAGAACAGGGGTTCTCTAGGAAGGAGATGAGAAACTGCATAAAGTAGGACCTACAGAAACCACAATGAATCATCTAGTCCATTCCTCTTCTCTAGAGGAGGATCAGCAATACAAAATCATTCTTAACTAAAGTTCATCTATTCTCTTTTAAAACCTTGAGTGATGGGTAAAGAGTCCACAACCTCCCTACGTGCTATCACAGTACATCACAGTTCTTTCCCTTTTTTTTTTTTTGTTTTGTCTCCTTAATGTCAACTTAAATCTTTCTCTTTAGAATTTACCCAGCTGCCTCTTGTCCTAACCCGTCTGGCATGAAAAACAGTTTATTTCCTTCCTCATTCTAGGAATCTTTTATGGGTATGTGTTATCAGATTTTCCTTAAGCTTTGCTTCTCTGTAATACATATCCCTCATTCATTAAACTCTTCTTCATAGGCTTTTTTTTTTTCAGATGTGCCATCATTCTCATTATTTTCCTCTGAAATTTTTCCAGCTGGTCACCTCTTTCTTGAAAGTAGCCAGAAGTGGACATGGTGTTCCAGTCGAGACCCTTGGAGTGCCTCTATAGTGAAAAGTTTACTTCACATGTCAGGTATGTGATATTTCTGCTTATCCCTTCCAGCCTGGTATTTAGTTTTTACAGAACTGTATGATACTACAGATTCATGCTCAATGCAGCTTGAAACTGTGTAGTGATTACTCTCTAAATGTAGCATTTTCCATTTTTTCTGATCAAAAAAACAAACTATTTTTTTGCCAGTTTTCACGCTTCTCGAGGATTTTTGTAATAGTGTCGCTCTCTGATTGGCTTAGATAGAATCGCTAACTGTTGGATAAAGTTTAGATGAGATGAACCTAAACCTAACTGAACTACCGGTACTTGTTCCTAGTGAACAGCATCCTTTTTTTAGACAGTGTCTCCAATATCATATGGTCATTTTGAGTTTTTATCCTGTCCTGCAAAGTGCTTTAGCATCTCTAATCTCGGCAGCATTTGCAGCTTTAATAAGTGCATCCCTTATGTGATTATAAAACTTCTTATTAAGTGATGAACTATGAATAGTTTGGGGTCTAGGAAAAACCCCAGTCCATGTGCCCTTCTGTTATGACACTGGACCAAGGAGAGTTATTCCCTATGTGTTTCTTCCAGCCAGTTTTGCTCTTGCCTTTGGATTATTTTCTACTGACTACATTTCCCTCACTGCTTAAGAAAATATTACAATACCGTATGAAAACTATTAGTAAAGTCAAGTAAGATCACATCTACTACTTTTCTCCTGTCTACAAGAGCTTTTATCCCTTCCCAGAATGACATTAAATGGATTTGAAGTGATTTGTTCTTAATAAATCCATTTTTGCTGTAGTACAGACTCAAGGCATAATTTAGTGAGACAGCATGCCCTGTGCTTCCAGTTTGAAATGGTAGTGACCCGTGCCAGGTTCACTGTTCAACATATAGACTTTCACTGTTCAACATATAGACGTACAGATATGAGCAGTGGCCTGTTTGTGCCTGCATCTCACCTGCCGTGAATCCAGTCTCCTCCACTGCATCTGCATCTGCACTGTGAAACCTGGAGCGATCTCCATCTCTCTGACCTGTATGCATCCTCAACCACTTTCTGTGCGCTTTCTGCACACCATTTGCCTATGCTTTTCTTTCCTGCCTCTCCATACCGGCTTCCACGCAAAGGAGTTGCAAGTGCCTTGGGTGGAAGGGCACTGGAGCTTGCTCCAATCAGTTCCCCAGCCCGGCAGCTCAGGGCACCAGCACAATGTGGCTTCTCATGCTAATGACCCTGTCCTGTGGACATACACAGTCACTGGTTATAGGGTGCAGGTCCTCCTCTGTGCATACACAGTTACTCTGATTCTTAGAACTTCCCATCCGTGTGAGGAACTGTGCGTTTACAGAAACCACTGCTAGGGCCTCTGTATTATTCACTATGGCCTGGTGTCTCGTATTCATCATCTTCTTATCTTCCAAGTGTTTGTGTCCAGAAATAAAAGCAATGACGACTGGTCTGTAGTTCTCTGGCTTTTTCTGTGTTTCTATTTTCAAAGAAAGGCATAATGAGTGCCTTTTTTTCCAGTCTTGTGCAATTCCAACCTCTTTCCACAGTTTTTCAGAGAAAATCATTAATGTCTCCATAGTGGAATTGATAGGGTTCACCTCGTGCAAAAATATCAGTACAGAAACTCCTAAGGGATAACAAGGCAACAGGAAACTAACAGCATAGATATATCATAAACAACTCTGTTATCAATAATCCCTTAGAGTAAGCACACCATCTGCTCTTCTGTGCCCTGTCAGCTTTCATAGCTCTAATGGGAGAGACTGCCAAGACAGATCTTGGCAGGTCCCACTGATACCTGGTAGGGTGCCAGCCAACAAAGTTTGTCAACTCAATCTAATTTCCTTCTTTGACAGGACAACTGGCTTACAGGATACACAGGAAGCAGTAGATATGATATGATATGTCTGACTTTAATAAGCTTTTGACTGTTTCTCACATGACATCCTCGTAAACAAACAAGGGAAATATGGTCTAGTGTGGTTTTTCCCAAACTAAAGTCACAACCCCAATTAGGGTCATGACAGTCATTAGTGGAACTGCAAGTTCAACTAAGACGCAGTTGCTTATGCAAGTATTTGAGTTGCACAAAATTGTCAGCCTGTGAGTAGTCGTTCACAACCAAAATAAGTTTGTACCTCACTAGTCAAAATGAAGTCACCACAAATTAGGAGAATAAACAGTCAAAAAAATAAATTGAAATAGTAGTTATCAATGGCTTAAACCAAAAGGGCATATCAATTGTGGTATGCAAAATGTTCCACCTAGGTCAGACATTATTCTGTATTTACACAAGCGGCTTGAATAACAAAACAGAAAACTCATTTATCAACAGGACTGTTGCAAATAAAATTCACAAGGATCATTAACAAATGTTATACATAGGACAGATGAGGTAATGATAGTTCTCTAGGCTGTAAAGCTTTATATTGAAAATTTTCATTCAAATAGTTATTACAGGCATTGTAGTAAGCTTCCAAAAGGTTGAATGTGTCACACTATTTTGAAACAGCAGCCCCTTACCCAAATTTTATTTAGCACTTAAGATTTAAATCTTGGTGAGATAAGAGAGGACAATAGAAAAAGTGGAAGTGGAGGAGGGACTGGAAAGAGGGTTACAGAATGAAGATAAATTGCCTTAGCATTTCCTCTTGTTCTTTGTTTTGTGTTGAAGGAGAGTATACAACCAATGGAAACACGTGACAAGAAGCCACCACATTGGATACCCCTAAACAGTAGTGTGGACATTCATTCCTGATTCACATATACATTTCACTAAATGACCTTAATGTGCCTGACTTTCTAAATGCAAGAAATAAGTATACAAATAAAAAGATAGGTAGGGGTTACTTTTAATTATTAAAAAAATCAATTTCAGTGGCATTTGTAACTCAAGAAAAGGATTGTTCACCTGATGGATATGCCTGAATCTTATCTCCTCAAGCCCCTTTACTCAGCAATCTTTGAGCGTCTGTCACAAGTGTTCTTTCACAGGAGGGTTTCAGATCCAGCATTTCTTTCTTGTCTTCATATCACTTCTCTTCAGACATAGGTGCTTTCCCAGGTCCCAGTCATGCCGTCAGCGTGCTTTTCATGCTTCTGAGCCAACAGCAAACAATGAGGCATTTCAGAGGGAGATGGGGTTTGGACACCTGACTGTGTTAAACATTTCCAGTTATCTGGTAAGCAAGTCACAACAACTCATTGACGCATATACAGCAGTTATTTTTCAGTAATAAATGATGACTTACCTTACTGGAATTCTTGCATTTCTTATCTCAGTGACATCATAAGGCAAAAAGGACGCTGGATAAATAAAAGACATACAGCAGTAGAAGTAAGGCCTTGATTTGGAGAGCACTGTAGAAGAAACGTCCCATCTATCTTTCCTATGATCCCCTCTAAACACTGCCAGAAAAACTTTTGCTGGAAAACACTCCGAAAGAACTAAGAGAGCAGTCAGAAAAGGATTATGTTTATCCAGTAACCACTAGAGAAATCAAGGTACTGGAAAAGATAAAGATTAGATTAATTAATAGGCCTTTATACTTGGTGTTCTTAATCATACATTTCTCTGATATATTGTTTAACAGTCAGTTGGTATTACATGATGAAGTCATAAATTATCCCTAATATCCTGTAAAAATACTGTTATTTTCTGGAAATAAAACATGCACCACATTCCCAGTCCTATTTGAATAAATCAGTTAATGATGAGGAACAAATATGAGTACACTCTGTACCAGCTCAGGCATTTGGCTTTGGAAAGTATATTTAGAGACAAAAATTTTAAAGGCTCTATATTTTATGAATATAGCTCTATAAAGCATTTGGCATGGTTGGCATGCCAGGAAAAGGTCAAAAGTTACACGCCTACCATAAAAACTAGCAAGACTGCCTATAGAGTTCATTAACAATCAATCCTATGCTTGTACATAAGATCAAATATTTGCACTTTTTTATTTCATTAAATGATAAAATATACATCTCAGAACCATAGCAACTATTTTTAACATCAGTTAAAGCGCCAGGCACTTCCACATAAGAGATCACACTAAATAACCATGAGGCACAAAATATGCTGGCTCTGCTTTTCCTTCACACATTACCTCTATCCATACAGGCTTTCCCATCTTGCTTCAAAAGCCCTGATGATGTCAGCTCCCAGGTGAAGGGAAGTGATCCGTCACAGATAGTATCCAGCTAAAATTCCTCCTTGGAGTTCCTGTTGTGGGGGTATCAGCTCAGGAGGCTGCGCAGATTTCCTTCTCAGAAATGAAGTCTCTCAGGGAGCTCTTTAGCCTATGTTCTAAAGTAAAAAAGGTAAAATGTGCAATATAAATAATGCAGTTGGGTCCCAACATTCATTCTAGTTGATTTGCTTGGCAGTGGTACAAGTGAAGAGAGAGTGAGAAGTCCATTTAAGCGGGATTGCTGAGCTCTGACGCACACTGAGCAGGAGTTTTGAGAGATGTATAAAAAGGAATATAATGCAGAGAGCCTCTGAGGGAAGAAAAAAAAATGGGGAAAAGCCCAAAGTCAACAGAACTGAGGATCTGAGTTCTGAAAATAAAAAGAGCAAAGCAAGCACACATTAAGGGTTTAGCACGGCAAGGACATCCCCTTGATGTAAAAGGATCTAAATGCAGAAGAGGAAAGGAGCTGGGAAAGATTTGTCTAATGAGGATTTTTTTTTTTTTGGTAGAATGACTAAGAACTTTTTCTGTGGAAGAGAATACATCTTTACGTTGTTTCAAATATTTTCCCAGGAATATTTCCACCATTTTAACTCACGGCCATTCAGCCCTGGTACACTGGTAGCACTTGACTTGTCCCCCTGACATGGGGGAACGATAGGAACCTGGCTGGTTTAGGCAGACTGTACAGCAAGAGTAAGCCTGCACAGTTAAAGTGTAAGTACTGTTTCTTCCTGTCTATACAAAATCTCAAGCTGCTCTGAAAGCTCTGAATCACTTTGGTAGCTGTTGCCAAATTCAGCTGTTATTTACACTGCTCTGCATCCCAGAAGTACTTCATTAAAAAACACAAATGTGGTGATGTTCCTCCAAATTTACACCAGTATTTGTACAAGTAGGAGCAGGCCACCAGAATGGAAAGTTTAGGTCCAGAGAGTGAAAGTTTCCAAAATCTATAAGCAACTGAAAGTATATTTTGAATAGAAACCCTTTTAAGTAGCGGATGCATTGCTGTTCCTGACTTCACAATATCACAGTTATTTATTCATCTTAATACTTTTTCTACATACGCATATAGTGCTTCAATTTGGCACCCACAGTCGCATGTGTGTGGACATACCTATACCTCTCCTTTTAGTGAATGACTCCTCAGATTCTGACATTCTTTCAGATGATGCTGTTCAGCTTTTTATCTTTTTACCTCTCTGTTTATTATCATGATATTGAAGCAGAAATCTTTCTTTACTTAAAAAGTGTACGACAGAAAGACCCACACAAGGCATATAATAGACAGGAGTCTGTTAGGTATATTTCAATATGAGATGGTGTCTAGATAACATAAGTCTAGTTTTTCTGTTAAAGAGTGAGAAGTACTGAGTGTCAGTCTTTTTGGGGTACTTAAAGACCAGGGAAGGGGCCATTGAGCTGTTTAGTCTCCCTTGAATTAAGTGGATAAGAATAGCAAAGGGATTGCATTTTACACTACCAGGGATACACAAGGGCATTCCCACTGAGTGTTCCACTGGTGACAGATATCAGCTGTTCACTGATCCTTGTCTGGTTGGGGGCCACTTTGCTGAGAAGAAGGAAAAAGGAAGCTGGCACCTGTCAATAAGTATCTTAGGATGTAACCCTGAGACCACAAAGAAAAAAAAAAAAAAAGGAAAAGAATTTCAAAGTAATTATTTGCTGCCAGCAATATAAAGGATTATTTTCAAAATACATTTCCAGCACAGCAAGCACAAATTGGCAACATGACTCATTCACATAAATTGGATGTGATTTCCTGCTTTTCACTCTAAAAGTATCCCCCCTCCCAAGTTTCAAAAACAGGGTGAGGGGATCCACAAATCCCATGAGCTGGTGCTGCCCGCCACAGCCACGGCAGTTGCCATATGCATGAAACCAACCTTTTTGGAGACTGGGTACAAGATGTTCTTTCACAAAAAGCTGTGCACATAGCCAAAAGCAGACAGGAAAATTACATGGAAAGAAGTCAAGGGAAAACAAGAAATGAGAATGAAAAAAAAGTAAAGGTATAGTTCTAGAGCAAAAGAATGCACTTGAGACTGAAAACAGTGAAACGTGTTTGGTCTGTGTGCTGTAGAAGAAAGACATGAAGGTTTTCAGACACATATAGTTTCCAAGATTTCTTACACACAGCATATTTACTCTCTCTTGCCTTTTTTTTCTCTCTCCAGGGGGTATTTCACAGTTTTTTGGACCACCAAGCAACAAAAGCAATGATAGTAGTGAATGACTCACATCCAGACATTTCTAACCTATTAGTCAGATATCTGTTACTGGAACAAGTATTGATTCTGCGCCTGACTGAATGAGAGACGTCTCTCATGGCTCATGAGGGAAGGTATGAGATATTCAGGGATGGCGGTTGTCTCCAATAAATGTGTGTCTTTCCAGACAGGGGTTCCCAAACTGTGATATAAACACTGCGAGCAGTTTCAGGCTGCTTCTGTGAATGATGATCCCTAAATCAATTAAATTTAGAAATCCTGCTTTAGCCTGAATCAATACAGCCTGCTGGCAGCAGTGACGGGAGCAGGTCTAACTCTGTCTGTACAGAGGCTGAAGGTCTATGAGAGCATGCTCACACAGGCATTTATCAGCTGATCAGCAGCAATTGCCTACATGAAGGTTGCTACTAGAGCCACAAAGTACCTGGATGTAAGCAGTTACGGCCAGTCGGCTAATGCGTGGTATCTGCCCGTGCTGAGATACCCCCATGATAACTCGAGGCCAGGGAAAAGGTGAGAGGAGATCGGGCTAGCTCTGGTTCTGGAAAACAGAGGGTGAGAGAGAGCCTTGAAGAAGACAGGCATACTAAGTGGGGTAGATCCTGAAAGAGCGAAGGAAGCCAAAAGCACACACCGCTGTGTATGCACCAGACCTGGCAGGGAGCCAGGAGCTGTCTCTGAGTTGGAGGTACTCAAGTAAATAAGCTGAGAATCTCCATTTGGCAGCTCTGACCCCGCTTAGCTTTATTCCTTCACTTCAAAGCGACTAGTCACATGCTTGGAGTTAAGCAAATGCTGAACTGCTTTTGGATCGGGGCCCAAGGAGCTAAATGGTTAATATATGTTTATAGCTTTACTGTACTCTGTTCTTTGGCTCACTCACTGGCTAGCAGAATCATGTGTATTCAGTCCAATATGTTATTAACATGCCTTTGTGACTCTTGGATTTGTTCTATCCGCAGCTGAGAGACTTAGTTGAAATCCTTGCTAAAGGTCATAATGTCTCCTTAACCATATGCGATCAAAGTCCTCACTGGAGTAGTTTAGTCTTCTTTTAGGGCTTTTCAAGAACCACTACTGAGATACTGGGAACCACTGCCACAGGAAAGAAAAAGGGGTTTCCTTCTTTCACAATGTTTTAAGTATTTTTTTTTTAATTTTTATGTATCTAATAGCTTTTTTGCTAATCAAAAAAAAATCTAATCATACACGTGCAAGAGAAAAAAAGCCTCATAAAGGGCAGATACGGCCCATTTTTTTTAGTCACAGCTCTTTCCTCTCTCTTCAATGTTTTTTGCATCCTCGATTCAATGATGTCCTTCATAAAACCAATCCAAGTTAATAGCATGTACAATGCAACTCTAGCAAAGTGGAACCTAAAGACGGGTGAAACAAGTCGTACTGCATACAATGAGTACTTGTAGAACAGAGGATAAGTGTGTATCCTCTCTTTGACAGAAAGATGTTTCTGTACTTGCTGCTACAGAAAGAACAAAATGTATGTGTACTAAGATGGAAAATAAATAGCAGCATCTAAGCACAAAATTACACAATGACAATCTTGTCTAGTTCCTTCAATATTAAAAAAAAAAATTGAAAATACGAGCTAATGGCATACTGAAGTCATTGTGTGATCCTGATTTTGGATCCTCACAAAATCTTCATAGATTTTAAGAAAATAATGAAAAAAAATGCATCTGCCAAGCTGAAACCTGTAAAATATTCAAAAATTGCCTTTTGTACTAAGAAGGAAAACAGCTTTATTTTTTCGCTAAAATTTAAAATACTCAGAACCATGGAAGAGAAAGTTGGGGCCACATTGTAAAAAAAAAACAAACTCACTTTTCTTTCATTAGTCTGATGTTTTAACTTACTTCTGGCAGTATTTGGCTCTCCTGGGTACCTTTGACGTGCCAGTGGTGGTTGTTGCATCTGCTTGCAGTGTACGCTGCACATATTTTAAGGAAACTATGCTCTGACACATCAGGCAGGTTTGTTTCCAGGAACATGAATACTAACACCCCATCGGTTTCAAGAGGCAGGCTGCTATTTTGAGCAAACAAGCCTTCCCTAACTGTTCGAAACCCAGCTCTAAGCGCATTTTCCGGCCTGGATCCCCTAGCTACACTGGTGAGTTATCTCATAGCTAATGTAGCTATTAATGTTGCTAAACACAGTGAGGAAGCAGCATGCCATCAGCCCAGGGGATGAGATCTGGACAAGATGAAATTACGTGAATCACCAAGTCCATCCACTATCCTCAACCAGGTAACGTGCTATTGGATCAAAGAGCTCTGCTCTTCCCAACTGCAAAACCCTCAGAGTATTTCCCAGCATCTTATAAAAATGTTAAGGCCTTTACTACCAAAACAGCTGAAGATAATATCTTTGGCATCTCCCCATTTCAGAGATTTTTGCACTTGCAATAAAAATTCAAGGATCCTTGCTAATCTGACCTGGGGAAAAATTCCTTCCTGAACCCAATCTACTGATCAGTTTAACTCTGGGTGTGGGAGGAAGACACCCCAAACAGGCACTGCATAAATGTTTTCAGCCCTCGTTGATACATAGTCTCAGATCAAAGTGACAGAATGAGACAAGAGAGAGGGAAAAGAAATCTGTCCTTCCACCTGCAAGGTGCTGGTGGGAGGTGGAAGAAGGATATTCTTGTTGTCCCTTTGGTCTTTGTTTTGAGGGGAAAAAATTCACATGCCCTAATAAGACTCTTCCCTAC